GGTTACGTCTTGGAGGGTTTAGGACAAAGGCTTCAGGGATTTTAGGCTTGGGTACTTTGGGGGCTTCCAGCGCTTGCAGGAACGGACTGTAGTTACTTTAGTTCAGTATCTTGAGCATCGATCCCAGTCACGAAACACAATGCTGCAGAGGCTTGAGGATTTTGGTGTGAGAGGCGAAAGTGTCAAGGCCCATGGCATGCCCAAATGCTTAGCTGCAACCCGGCTTCAGCCAAATCCAGGGTCAAGCAACCCCCTTATGGCATCAGGCAAGTCGAGCGTCAAGCAGATGATCATGGGTGCTGGCAAGACCTCCGTGGTCTCTCCATTGCCGCTTGTTCAAGCAGACAGCCTCAAACACCGAATCCGAAAACTACAAGAAACACCCATAAACTCGGTGTTATCAATCTTCTAAAATAGCCCCAGCTGCTAGCCATAAACCTGAAAGCCGGATTTGAGCGAGGGCGCGTGCCAACCCAAAGCCTAAACGCCATAACCCTCAACCCCATTGACCCAGTAGGATTTAGGGTGTAGGGTACACAACTACTTGGAGGGTCGGGGGACTNNTAGTAAATGGCTATTTTATAGACTTATAAGTACTATAACCCCAATTAGGGTCCCTTTTAGGGTACTTATAAGTCTACTTATTACCTACTTACTAAGTCTCCCGACCCTCCAACTAGCCCCTACACCTCCAAGCCCTCCGTTCTTCCTTGCTTCAAGGCTGGCGTTGATGCACGCGAATGGCTGCTTGTCTGTCGTTAGGGTTTAGGGTTTAGGGGCTACAGGACCCGTAGAAGGTACGATCATCTTAGGCATTGTAGTGGTTTGGGAGAGGCAGGCAGCCCCTTTTTCTGTCAGACCGTTTTACTCAAGATCTTTCTTGCTTACTATTTTGATTGGGTTTAGGGTTTAGGGTTTAGGGTTGCTTACTATTTTGATGGGGTTTAGGGTCGCCTTGTTTCGAAAAAAGATGGAAAGATAAACGTGAGGTTGGTTCTAAACCCTAATCTTAGTTCCCCAATACTCAACCTTTTACCTTTCTGGGTTCTTAAAGTTTAGTAGTAATTTGAATCTGAAAGTTTAAAAATTGATTTCCCTGGCCTAAACCCTAAACCCTAAACCCTAAACCCTACACCCTAAACCCTAAACCCTACAGTAAGAAGCCCTCAATCTCGGAGACGGGAGCCGCAAGCCCGAAACCCGGACTCTTGTTCCCCCCGAGGGCCCAGATGCTATAGCCCCAAACCCTAAGCCCTAAACCCTAAACCCTAAACCCTAAAACCCGAAACCCTAAGCCCTAAGCCCTATAAACCCTAAACCCTTAACCGGATTTCGGGCTTAGGGGTTTAAGGTTTAGGGTTTAGGGTTTAGGGTTTAGGGTTTAGGGTTTAGGGTTTAGGGCTTATCTCTTGACCGCCCAACTTTAGCCAGATCTCTCCTCCTCTCCCCCGTCTCGGCGCCGTTTTCTTCTTGAAAACGGTTTTTTGGGTCCCTAAACCCTAAATCCTAAACCCTAAACCCTACACCCCTAAACCCCAAACCCCTAAACCCTCAAACCCCTCAGGGCTTCGGGGGTGCAGTTGGAGAGTTGGTGTAGGGCATTAGGGCTTACACCTTCCTCCCTAAACTTCAAAAAACCTTCAATCCTCTTGCCTAAACCCTGAGCCCTAAACCTTAAACCCTAAACCCTAAACCCTAAACCCGGTACTCTTACAAGGAAACCCTTCAAGGTTCCCTGAACCCTTAACCCTTCAAAGGAAACCCTTACAGGTGCCCTTGTACGGGTTTCAGGGCAGCCCCAAAGGAAGCCCCTCAACCCAGGTCTACGCATCGTCTGCCTAGTGGTTCCGCCAGCTCTGATCAGCCTTTCCCGCTCTGTGTTGCAGCCACTTGGGCTTTAGGGGGAGTTTCGGGATTAGGGTTTAGGGTTTAGGGAAGCACAAGGGTTTAGGGGTTGTCGGCTTCAATCAAGATGATTGAGGTTTTAGGCCTGGGCCTCAACTCAGTGCAATATGCAAAAAAAGGTTTTCAGGCGCAGGATGGACTTGGCCATCATCTGTCTGGTGCTTAGCAGGGAATGGGGGAATGGGTTGTAGGGACTACTATAAGGGACCTTAAGGGACTGTCATAGGGATCCATTCCCCCATTCCCTACTAAGCACCAGACAGTCATAGGAGCCTTGGGTGTTAGAGTTAGAAGCTTAGGGGCTGAGTAGGTAGCCTTTAACCTTTCCGGGCTTATATAATCCTAGTATAATTCTAATTCAGAAGGTTTACCTTTTTTGGGCTAGGGTACTCAGCTCCTGAGGAAGTGGGTTCTTGGAAGTTCCTTCATGTAGGAGCCTCGAGTATTGGAATAGTAGGATTTTGGAATGCTTTAGATTTGGCGTGTAACGGCGTGTACATCTTCAGAGACTTATATCTCTTTCCGCAGGTCCTATCGGGAAATATGAGGGTTATGTTTTGTCTTTTGGGTGGGCTAGCATTTAGGGGATCGTCGGTAAGGTCCCATGAGTGAAGTAAGTGTTCCGAGGCCAACCCAAAAATACCTGGGTGCAGGCTTTAGCGTCATAGGGCTCCGGGTGTGAGGTGTAGCGGGTTTAGGGCTACGGCTCAGGCTCAGGGACGCAATCCCTACCCTAAACCCTAAACCCTAAACCCTAAACCCTAAACCCTAAACCCTAAACCTAGGATTGTTGTAGGATTCCATTCTTTTTGGTTCGTAGAACCAAAGGCGCTGGGAGTTTGTGGGTGCTTGAGTCTTAGGTTGAACCCATGGGCCCCTAACATGGGCGCTTAGGGGATTCTAGGGTCCCTTAAGGGTATATATAAGGTACAAAGTAGGTATATTAGGGTCCCAGGGTTAAGGGCCCATACTAGGGGCCCATGGGTTCTACCTTAGATTGAGGGGGGGGGGAGTGCGAGAGTGGATCTGCAAAGTAGTCCTTCGACAAATCCCTTGTAGCAGTCCTTCTATTCCTTCCTCCACTTTTCCTGAAGCAAGGACAGACGGGTGATTTTTTAGGGTTTAGGGTTTAGGGTTTCGACCGTTTGAATTAGAGTTTGTGAGTTTCAACCTCGAGTCGGCTCATTCTCAAGCACCCCATCTCGACACCTTATCAGTGTGGGCCCTTCCATACCCCTTTTTTTCACAAGGGACTCGACTGCTGCCCTTACTTCCATACCCTAAACCCTATAATTTCCGGATCCTGCGGTAGTGCAGCTGAGGGTTCTTAATCTGTCGCCAGATTGACGGCATCGTTTTGGAGAGGTGGGTTCAGGGCTTACAGTAAAGCTTCGTGTTTTCAAGGTTTAAGGGATTTGGGGGCCTAAGAGTTTGGGGGGGTTGTGTAAAGTTTGGAGCCATAAACCCTATGTCACTAACGCCTACACCCTGAACCAGTGTTTCGGGCTTGGTTTTCCCGGCTTCGGTGTCTCCGTTTCTGGGGTCCTCGGAACGTACCTTCGGGTTTTGGGGTTAGGGGCTCAGGATACGCGTTCCGAATATGTGGTTGTTCGCACGGTAGGATTTCTTGGTGCCGTACGAGTGTCAGACAAGCAACGTGGTTCTTTGCAAGAATGCCACAAGCAAGCTGCCACGCGAAGCAGCCGGACCCTAAACCCTGACCCCTAAACCCTAAACCCTAAGCGGAGTGTCAGACTACGCGCTTTTCCTGACCCGTGCTCAGCAAGGCAACGCCATGCACGGCTCTGTTGGGATGGTAGCAATTAATCCCCTCGCGTGTGCACAAGACCGGTCAGACGATCGGGTGCCAGTTTTATTCGGGTTTAGGGTTTAGGGTTTAGGTTTAATTTGTTAAGGCTGTTAAGGTTGACAGTACGCGGCCTGAAGCCCTCAAACACCTACCAATTCCGGAGCCAGAGCCGTGCCGGGATGTCTTGCCATTTTCGGGTATTGGGGCAGGGGTTGAAGATGATGAAAGCTAGGCGCAGAGCCCCAAACTTAACACACGAATCCTCTAAGCCCCAACCCCGCAAGCCCTAGGAGTGCAAGGACTTCGATGATTATTTAGAGACCTCTTTTATTGACCCACCCTCTCACTCCCTTAAACCCTAAACCCTAAACTCCCCCCTACACTAAAAAAAAACTCCCCCCTACATTTCCCACAGAGGAATTGCTTTTCCACCGTGGTGCAGAAGCGCGTGTCCACCTTCAAGTGCGACCGATCCTTGGATCTGGAGGCGCCTCCGGGATTAGGGTCGGGTTTAGGGTTTAGAGTTTAGGGTTTAGGGGTTTAGGGTTTAGGGTTTAGGATTCCCAGAGACTCCAATATCCCTTAAAAGGAATAGACCTTAAATCATATTAAGGATCCTACTATACTTTAAGGAATATTCCTTAATTAAGGGATATTGGAGTCTATGGGTTTGGGTCGGGTTTTTGATGTCTTGTACGCTAGCTAGTTCGGACACTTGTTCAAGGGTTTCAGGATTTTCGGGTTCAAGGCAGCATTTTTAATTTTCTGGTTTAAGGCTTAAGGTTTATAGGGTTTAGGGCCAAGGGTTGAAGCTCGAAGATCTGGAGAGACAGAAATCCGGAGATGGGCGAGGAGAAGAACACTCTGATCGCGAAGGT